GATATATGATAAAAAATTCGGGCTTGTGTAAATTAAAAGAGCAGACTCTGCACTATCGAATGATCACCTTGGAATTGAAAATCTATTTGAAAAGGTTTTTATCCGGTAGGACATAAAATCTTCAACGGTAATTAACAACCTTAGTCACTCACTAACCTATTGAATATAATATATATTTGCTCTCGAAAAGACACTCTTTCTAATGCTGAAAAGACGAGATTGCTAGCTGGATTCGTTCGCGAAATATTACTCTAACAGTTTTCTCCATCTATTTCTGTAGCCAACATTAGCTGGCATAAAATCTCGTGGTGAAAAAATCAACATTGCATCGTAATCCAATATAAGTCGTAGCACTGTTAGAAAAGATGTGAACTTCATATCTCAATAAGAAAGCCATAGAAATTGAAACCCTGTCGGAGTTTTTCTAGTCTCATTAAGGCCTACATATGAGCCAAATATCACGTCAAAAGTGGAGCTTCACCTGGGAATGTCTCCTCGTGAGATCGGATTTCTTGCTGATTTTCTCAGGGTCTTCATACATATCAGCAACAAGATTGTTTTTATTGAAACGGTCTACATGAGATAGGACATTAGATGTATGGTAATATCAGTTATGTGAAAACAAGTTTAGGAGCAAAGTTTATTTTAAATTTTGAATAAAATAAATGTATCAAAGAAAATTTGAACATGACGTAAACTCACAAGTCAAAGAACATAACTCTTCTACCCGATTCAGCTACAATTAAACAACGATGTTTTTCATCAATGACAGAAGTATAAGGAGTCCAGCTAGTTGAGGCCGATGGTGGAACTGTGAAACTCGCTATTAGAGTACCATTTGGTGAATAATGATTGATTTGTGGTGAAGGATATGTAATTGTAACTAATAGGTCTGGATTAGAAGAGGCAGCAGACGGGAAAAGAGTAATAAATGGATTAACAAGATACGTTTGAGATTGTAATTGTATGACTGCAAGTTGCCTACCATCATTAGTCAGCTGATAGATACATGCACACTGACTATCGGATATGTAAAGAATTCCATCATCTCTAACTTTTACATCATAAACAAACTGTAATGATGGCGTCGTTTTATAGACTTGTATTATCGTTCCATTGATCAATAATTTAATTACACGAGCATTACCACTATCGGCAACATACAAATTACCCTGTAAATCTACAACTATACCATGAGGATTCGTCAGTGATGGATTGCTTGTATAGATTCTACCTTGTTCAGTACCATTCGATGCAAAAATAAGAATGTAACCGTATGGAACATCAGCATCGCTAACATATATCTGACCTTTACTGTCCAAAGCTAAACCAACTGGAAAACCGAAATGAGGTTTTGGATTAATAATTTGTGTAATATTAGTAGATGAGTTCGTAATTGTTAGCTTCTTTAAAATATTGTAGGCTGCATCATCAGTTAAACTGTTAACATAAATATCTCCACTATTATCAAGTGCTACTAAACGAGGTGCAATTAATACTGGATCATTACTAGAATAAACTTGCAAAACTTTTGTTGTTATAGCATTGAATAATACTAGTCGAGCATTTAGAGTATCAGATAATAGTAAATTACCATCAGCTACAAATGTGAGACCTTGTGGATTGTATAAACTATTAGTATATGTACGTATCAATGTGCCATTTGGCATTAAAGCAATGATATAGTTAGTAGCCATGTCGGCAACATAGACATTTAGATTAGCATCAACTACTATCGCTGTTGGACGATATATATTACTGTTTATATAGGATTGTATCTGTTTGCCAGTTTGTGAATTGACAAGAAATACTCTGCCAGTCGATGCATCATTCCTGTCAGCAACGTATAATCTTTCTGCAGTTTCGTCCAAAGTTAATGCTGTCGGTTGATTAAGTGGTGGCAAGAAATTCGATGCATTGAATTTATTAACTTGTTGACCATTTTTATTTAAGACATAGACAGATGTATCTTCAATGTCTGTAGTTGCTACGTAGATATCACCATTGATAGGCGAAATAGTCAATGCTGCAGGAATATAAAGAGGTAAAGAAATATTTTTAATTAGTTGTTCATCAGTTGTCCTATATTTATAGATTATTGCAAACGAACCATTAGCACCAGTTGCAACATATAAATAGCCAGCTAAATCTGTCGTCAACTTAACTGGCGAATAAGGTTTTGATTGCTCAATAGGTAAGCTAAGCGTTGATATATAAACAGCTTCTGGTGACAAATGTAATATTCGATTAAACGACATATCAGCAATAAATATATGTTGATTGATTGGTGATATAGCAATATCAGCAGGAATCCAATAAGAAAGTAGACGAGATGGATAATGCATAGAAATAGTTGCATCGATATAAACTAAAGGAAAGAATAAGACGAACAGGAAAAGCATGGTAAGAATAATTAGAACCATTTTATCGGATGCAGGAGATGAATGTTAACAGGTTCTAATATATAATGCTATTTACCACTGGTAACTTTAGTTGGATTATCAAAATCTAAATTATCCAATAAACAGTTTCCTACGAAAGTGGATGTAGATAATTAGAATAGAATTCAATAGATTCAATACACGTCTCACTGAGTTATGCCTAGCTAAAAAAAACGTCTATGCATTAGTTCTGCTTCCTGCAATATAGAAACAATTGTAGTAGTTCTAAATACCGGGGTTTTATCAGTTTAGTCTGCTCTATTGTTTCTATTCTGAATGATTCTATGTGATTCTTCTTGTTTCATGCGTGGGATTTCAGTTCTACCTCACGAATCTTTGTCTGCAAGAGTGTATGCAAAAAAGTTACTCGAAAGATAAAATGGCTCTATAAATCTTTCTGAATTATCTGCCCATTTCAATATGTAAGTTCACATTGAATGCTTATATCTCAGATTTATCTTATGAGAAAAAAATGACTATCAATGATTTCGAAAATCACTCATGAACATGCGTGTGGCCTAGTCATGATCTTCTTTCACAAGGTCTATCAAGTTTTGACTATGGTTTAACAATTCGAGCACAGTCCAGTGGTAAGCACATTTGCTTGTAAAAATTCAAAAGTCCCATCGAATGATCGCGAGAACCATGAGACAATGTTTTTGAAAGTTTTTTTCTGAAAACGACAAGATTGCATGAAATTCGATATGGATCTGAAAACGACACTCATCATTTAAAAAATCCAAACTTGTGATTACAAAAATCAAGGTCATGTGTAAAAATTAGTTATCTCCCTGAGCCAATGTTATGATTGATGAGGTTGTTTTTTTCATCAGAGTGTTCTATGTGTGCTGATCAATAAGTTTTCATGTTCGAATCCGATGAGAATCACTGACGATAGGTTCTTTAGTAGTAAACATAAAAGAATATTGATCGTGAAGAAATTTAAGCCTCTCTGCTCAAAGTATAAATGCACGAATGAGATACACATGAGACTCTTTCGAAGCAAAATACTATCAGTTTTTAAAGCTGAGAAATTTGACCAGATGTACTGCAATAAGCCTCTTTTAACAGGCATGAAGATGGCACTATTCCTACCGTATATATCCAAGCATTATCATTCGATTTCAGTGTTCTACAACATTTAGTTCATTAATACCGCCGACACAGTCGACACCATCATTTCCAACACGTTCTAGATTAATGCAAGGTCAAGAATAGTTCTTATCGAGTAGAGAATCGAATGCTTTGGCCTGGAAGCATGGGAACTACGCACTCAAGTGGCAGATGTTCGGCAATAATTGTTGCTCGCACATGTTCTGAAATTTTTCATAAAGCTTGCAGATGTTCGAAACTTTAGTATTGTATTGCTAGACACGATACGAGAATAGTCATCCTTCATCTGATGCTATTTCTGGCAATAAATCACATTCTCATCTTCAGTAGAATGAAAATCCCAAATTATATTATAATGAAGACGAAATGACATTGATTTTCTGGAGTGGTATTGTGAAGTCAAATTCTTTTTGATGTCAATCTTCCACGAATCCTCAATATACTGACGCGGTCGAACAGTCGATCAACTTTTCAATACAATTTCACTTAGCTATTCGTCCATTTCTTGTGGACAATTTCGAATTTCATCCCTAATTCAATAAGCTGAAATGCATTCTATTGAATTATTGCACTCATCAATGGAATTGTACAGGGTGTGAGTGTGAATGGGTGGAAAAAGACCCACATCCACCCTAAGTAAGTCAAGAAGCAGCAG